CCTTTACTAAATTTGATTTTCTAGATTTAGAAAAGTCTCAACTCCCAAGAATTTGCTTAGTGAAGCACTGAGAAGCAGATGCAGTGTAGGCATCTTGGTGCTTCCCACTCAGTACAACTTTCTTTTAGCAAACAAGTTTCTGCCAATGAACAATGTGTGAGGGGTCACTGCTGGCTCTTATCAGTCATAAGTAGTAATTTCTTCAAGTTAAAACAAATTTTATATAAAATAACAATATTCCATCAAAGTTTGTTTTACAAGTAGTACTAATATTGGTAAAGACAAGTAGTTTGCCTGTCTTAAAGATTCATAGAGTATTTTTCTAATTATTTTCAAACTTTACAAGTCTGTCCAACCCCTTGAATACCTAATACATGAGTATTGTTTCATCAAAAGATCAAAATTATAGTAATCTCTAACATCAACTGATTTTTGGTAAACATCTGAAAATATACATCAGCTATATGCACAGGGGCCTTTTTAGGTATATAGAATCTTGATAAAGGTAGATAAAGGTAGACCATCTCAAATGTGGAGGCACATAGGATATTCCAAGTGAGGCAAGAGCTAAACTGCTGCTGTCATGATACATTTCCAGAACCTGAGCATTCTTCAGGCAGACTAACACAAGGCAGTAACTGCTTGGCTGGGAGGCTCATCATGCTGTCCCCAACAGATACATGAGGCAGATTTGTATGGCTCAGGGTGACTGAAGAGGAGGCTTCAAATGGTATTTTAAACAATTCTGGTTTGTAAAGGCTTAACACTTTAGTTACTAAATTCAGTGAGGGTTTGGAGATCATATTTTGGCCCTAAATAAATAGTGTCAATTTTTGACTATTCTTTTACTGCTGTAGGCACTGATGAATAAGCTGTACTGGCCATGCAGTGGTCAGGTGTTTCCTTGGGTGTTCCAGGAAGATTTTATTAGAAAATATACTAACATTTCCCAATTTCTGATGGGGGAGTGCAGCTTGGGAAGAAGAGAAGCAGTGTTAAACTAGTATTTACCTGATTCAGTTCCCTGCAGCCCAGGCCTTGTGCAGGCAGTTCAGTGTGTGATGGGATTGGTACTGACACAGTCTGCACAGGACTGCACTGCTGTGACACAGATCTTTGTTAATAGAGCTGCCTTAATTAAAAACACAGAGTTCATTATGAAATTCTGGTTTGACCCTCAGCATTAGATTTGAATATAAAAGAATTCCTCTTGGGAGCTGCATAGAAGAGTTTGAAAATACATCTGAAGATACATTTGATATGGGGAATTGATTACAAAAGAGGCAGAGACCCAATCCTGGTGAATCCTGGATAGCTCTGATAGTCAGAATGAGGTGGAAAGGACCAGTTCTGGCTGAGTGGTCCCTGGGGTGTTCCCTCCTTGCTGGGACTGTTCCAGAGAAGCTCAAGTGCTGTAACAGCCCCAAGCTCCACTCAGTGATGTTGCATCCTCTCTTTTTCCATAGCAGCTAGCTCATGTCCTTTGCACAACTGAGAGTAGCTCAAGGCCATCATTTCATGCATGACTTGGTAAATTGTGCAAGGAAGAGCACTGCCAAACGAGGAGCTATGCCAGTTTTCAATAAGAGGGCCATCTGTGACAAAATGTTTTAGTAAGTTTGAAAACAATTGAGTTCTTTCCCATTTTTACTTTGATTTCATTTAGCATGTAAGTAACTTTGCAGCCTCCCAGGAGTAAATTTATGTTACTGTATCCTTGTTTGCTCTGCATTAAGTTTTTGTTGAGTCAAGTGGCTCCATTTCAGACCTGATCCTGTGTGGTACTGAAAAGCATTGATTTTGCATCAATGTGACTTTTGATTCCTGTTGGACACATTTGTCAGGGTAGGTGAAATTCAGATATTTGTGAAAGAGAATAAGCATATAAATAAATTCTTAGTAGTTACAGCAAAAGTAACTGAATGTACAAGTAGTTTATTGCTGGAATTAAAACATTTTTAAATTTGGAAAGAATTCCAAGTAAGCTTCTCTCCCTTAACCCAGCCTGTAATATCTCATTACCATTTTGTTTCATGAAATTTAGGAAGTTGTTGCAATGGAGTTTTCATGTAGCAAGGATTATTGAGGAAATCTGCCATTTGTTTGAGATCTCTCAAATTGTCTTAAACTCTTGCAAGGAAGACTGTAAATACTACCTCTATTGATAGTAGAGGGGCAACAATGGGACCTCTAATACAGTATTTTTTAAACTAATTTTGGTGTAATTTAATGAGAAGAGTTTTGGGTTTTTTAAAGAACATGGTTATACTTAGCTTGCTTAACTGCACTTCCTAAAAGCAAGAGGAAAATTAGAGTTGTTTTCTGGAATCTGGAGGTTTAATTTGACTTTTAATTTAGCTGTTTTAACGTTCTGAGGTTAAGAATCTTTCAGCTGGTAGAGTAAAGCAAATTAGAGAGCAAGTTAGTGTCTCTCACTGAGGAGTGACACAAACTCAGTGACAGAGCCAGAAATCTGCCTTGTGCCAGCCCATCAGACCCTGCTCTGGAAACATTGCCTGGACCTCGCAGTTTGGCTGCTTGTTTCTGTTGGCAAGTGCTCTCTGCAACAGGTCATGTTCAGAAAGAGGAAACCTTTTTGTCATTTGATGTTATTTTAAGAGGAACAGAGCATGAAGGAAGTTCCTGACCTTTAAATATGTGTTTATGCAGGAGGCAGGCCTGGTGGGGAAACTTCAGGTGGGAAATATCCCCAGAAGGCATGACTTCAAACTGCTTGAACTTGTGTTGTAGGTGCTTTTAGAAAAGTGCAGAGCTGCCCATGTGGAGCAGGCAATCATTTAAGGGTAAATCCACCTGCCTCCCAGAATAAGTGCTGTCCATGAAGATGGTCAGTGCCCCATGTGCAGGGGTGTTAGTGTTTTGTTACAGTGTTTTTGAAGTAAGTGTTCCCTTACACAAAATTTACAGGGGTTAGACACTTAAATGCAGGCTTTGTTTTCTTGTTTCTGCTGAGTGAAATTGATGACTTGTCATGTTTGCAGCTCTTTAATTTAAAACTGTGCAAATATACCTAGAGATGGAGTGTGAATATCTATTAAAGCAGCAGTCTTAATTTTGCAGCATTTGCTCAATTCTGTAGGCAGTAATCTGCTTGAATTTGGTGAAGCTTTTGGGAAGACTGCGTACATATTGCCAAGATTAATCCCACTGTGTTTGCACAAAATTTTAATATGCTGTATTCTAATTTGTAAATTTGGACTGTTTTTATCGTGATATTTCACAAAATTTTATGAGAGTAATTGAGGAAAAATATTTGGAAATAATGCTAAACTATTTCTAAATTTGGATTAATAAAAATCATATAGCTCTGAAGTTAGAAAATGTGGCTATTTCTTGTATTGGTCTTTCACACCATTAGACTCAGTGTATCATACACTAAGTATATTGTATCCTAAGTATTTCCCAAAAACACCATGGGCCTTTTTATATTTTAAACATACGCTAATGTTAGTGCTGCAATGTTTCACCATTGTGAATTTCACTTTTATTTTGAATCTATTTTTGCTGCTGTTCCAGTAAATCTCCTGAATGATAACACTGAAATAACCCTTACACAAGGATGGAACTGCAACCTCATCTCCAGTAACCGTGACAAACATCACTATAATATTTACAGGGGGAAAATGTTCATCCAGGGTGAAATGCAGAGATGCATTAAAACATCAAACATTAAAAAAAAAGAAGGCAGTTGAAGCTGCTTAATTGCTTTGCTTAGAAAGACTAATGTAATGTCTGAGGAAGTAATCCCTAAATAAGTTAGGAGGTGAGATCTTTCAAAGGAGGAAAAAAACCCAGGCATAGACCTATCAGGGAATTCAATGACGAGACTGTCAAGAGCAGTAAAGCTGATGTGTTGTTAAATGTCTTTGGGAGAGATTTCTTGGTGTTCTGTGTCTTAATGTAGTGAAAAGCAAACTTCAGAGGATGAACGTTTGGCATTATTCTATTTGAACCCAAAAGTTTCCTCTGGCATAGGAGTGGAGGGTCTGTCAAAATGTGTGACTTTGCCTCACTCTGAAGTATTCAGTGTGGGAATGAACATGGCTGTGAAGGATGGAGCATGGAGGAGGCCATCCCTCTGTGGTACTTAGCTGGCACATTCATTTGTGCTAAACCAAATAAGTTGTGGCAGCTGGAGCAGGATGGTGGAAAGGGAAAAGCAGGAGAGCAGTGGAGTGAGGCAGCAGGCACAGCAGTGTGTGATGGAGGGAGGCTGAGGTGTGCTGTGGTGTGGGCAGGGAGGCAGGAATTGCTCTAAGGCCAAGTGGGGCTGACAGCAGGGCTGTGAGAGGGGAATGGGAGATGGGGAAACAGGCTTCAGGCTCTGAAATGGGGGATGTGGAAAGGAGGATGGAGCAGCAGGGATGCACAGATGGAGCCAACTTCTACAGAGCTTTTCTGTGATATTTGGCTGCTGTCTGGAGCTTTTAGGGCTGCTTTTAGTGTGTAAGCTGCTGCTCCACATTCATTCCCCTGAGCCCCACGGTAGGGATTTCTGCTTGACAGCCCCTGCAAGGGAAAGGAGAACACTGGGGTTTCCCGGGCTACCAACCTTTGGCCAGGGATGTTGCTGCGGGGAGAGCGCTGGAGTTTGCCGCTCCTGTGCCCCAAACCCGGTGTTCTCGCCGTTCCCCCAGATCTGACACCCCCTCCCCCGATTGCCTGCGTCTGACTCATTCGCTGGTGCTTGTGCAAGCAGAGCGGGGCGGGGGGTTGGGGTGGGGGAGAAGCCTTCAAAGTATCCAGAGCGGCTGCTCTGGCTCTGGCAGGGCGGCCGTGAGCTGCGCCCCTGCAAGGGCGGCGGTGCCGGGGGCGGCGGAGCGGAGCGCGCCCGCAGCGCCGCGCAGGCGGCCCCGGGTGGAGCCCGCCGCACCTCCCGGAGCCCGGGCAGTCCCCGCCGCTTCCAGGGAGCCGAGAGCAGCTCCGTGCCCGCCGTCCTGGGGAACTGCTGCGGCAATATCGCCATTTAAAAAAAAGGGAAAAGATTAAAAAAAAAAAAAAAGAAGAAAGAAAAAAAGATGAAGATGCTTAAATGCCTCCTGCCAAAAGTAAAGAGCGAATCTCAGTTGCAATGGCTCTGCTAAAACTTGATCATGCGGGATTTCAAGCGATAAAGAGCTGCCGGGCTGCTATTTACTGCGGTGGGAACAAGTTGCAGGATGAAATCCAGGCGTTAAGGGACCTATTTTCCACTTCACTGTTTGCAAAGGAATCTACTGAAATGACTTTGAGGATCTTTAAACTGGAACTATGTGGAGGGAGAATGCAGTAAGTACCGCCGGGTGGGGAGCCCGGATCGCGCCCATCTCCGGGGCAGGGGCGCCGCGCAGGGCTCTGGGCTCTCGGTGCCGGCTCCGAGTCCCCCGGCAGCACCGAGGGCCGGGCAGGGAGCGCCGGCTGCTTTGCCCGCCGCGCCAGCGTCCTACATAGAGCTGGGGTGCTTGAAGAAGTGCCTTCATGCATATTTACTGGGAATTATGAATGAAAAAAAAACAGAGCATTCGAGCTTTCCGTGGCGGGCTCTGCTCTAGTGTCTCCCTGGGATTGTTTATGGTAAATTGGGAATGAAGCGGTTCTGCTCCAGGAGAGCTTTATCCCACACCGCTTTAGCTGTGCTCCAGGTTATGCTTGTTTTGAGCCTGCCAGAAAACTCCTGCCCTTGCTCATATTAATTAGTTTGCTTCTAGCTGCGCTTTCCAGGTTGGATGTCTCTTCCCTTAGCGCTCAAGCCCGTCCATCTCACTTGGAAGCACACGGGCAGTTGGGAGCTCAGGATTTTCCTGACCTGGATAAGATGAGGGACGTATCCCGGACGGCTGAGGGCTCACGGAGCTGCTTTTAGGAAAGAGCTGAAATCTAAGTGAAGGGGGGGAACTTTTGAGTGTAGTCACTTTATTTCCGCTCACATACCACATGAGATCCAAGTATATTTCTTTTTCTCCTGTCAAATCTGCGACCTGACTAACAGCTTCTCCTCGTCTCCTCTTGTCCCCCCGCTGTCCCGTCCCCCCCCCGTGTCCAGCCCCCCCTTGCCTGTCTCTCTGTCCACGTAGCTGCCCTCCCGGGATGCGATGTCGCTCGCAGGCTGCGGCGGGGATCACGCGTGCGGCCAGCGGCGCGGAGGCCAGCCCTGAGCCCGGGCAGCGAGGGGCGCGACATGCCCGCGGTCGCGACATGTCCTGCAGCGACACCGACAGCAGCACCGGCACCTCCGGCAGCCGCCGCCGCTCCGTCTCCTGAGGCGCTGGGTACGTGCGGCCCGCGCCCGCACGGGGGCGCCCTCGCGCCGCGGCCGGCCCGCCGGGGCGCGCTCCCGGTGCGCGCTCCCGGCACCAGCGAGCCGTGCCCGAGGGGGACTCGGAGCGGGGATTGGAGAGGGGAGCTCGGAACAGGGGGGTTCGGGGGGCCCCGAGCCTTCCTCGGGTTCGGGGGGAAGCCGGGGCCGTTGGGTGCGCTGTTCCACCGCGCTCCGTGTGGCGGCGGCCGGCGGGAGCCCGGCCCGCAGTGACCCAGGCAGCGCTGATGTGCAGTTAAATGCTCTGTGGAGTGCCCCAAAGGAGGTGGCGATGCTGCAAGCCCCTGTCTGGCTGTGTGTGTGTCAGCAGCGGGCGGCTGTGGCCGAGGATGGGGATAGGGCTGGCGGGATGAGAGGGGAGATGTGAAAAATGCCACCCCTGATTGGACAGCCCCGCGTGTGTGCTCTGCGTGACGCTCTGCAACAAGCTTGGCTTGATGTGGCGCAGGGACTCCCTTCCTGCAGCTAGCAGAGAGCCAGTTATGGGGGTGGAAATCCCCCGGGGCTCAGAAACGGGGAGATCTTGCAGAGTCAGACCTGCTCTCCTTCTCCCTCCTTCAGATAGTTCAGATCCTTTCTGTGGCTCAATCTCTCTCCCCGTCCTACTCCGTCTATATTCAGCCCCCTACAGAGACTCAGTGAAGACATGAGGTAACCGATGCAGTGATGCTCATTTATGGAACACCCTCCCCTTCAACACTAGGGACAACTTTGTGTCCGAGATCAGCAGTTCTGAGATGCTCAAAATCTGAATGCTGCATGAGAGGACAGAGAAGAATTAAGATAGAATATTGTGCTTTTGAATCTGTTCCAGAAATGCAGTAGGATTCCTTAAGCAGCGGCTGCCTAGGGGGGATCCTCAGAAATAAAACAGCATGGGTTTGGGATGCTGTGAGATGTATGGAGTGTGTGGACTGGGGTTTCCAGCAGACCTCTGGCTCACTTCTCTCATTTTGGGCTAAAATACCTCTCTCTGATAGACCGTGACTAAAGTTTAAATAGATGTCCAGGATGAAGGGAAATATTCTGGATGGAAAAAGATTTCTTTTACCTATTTTAGCACAGCAAGGTTGAAGAGAAGGATGATAATGTCTTTTTTTTTTTTAAATGATGTCAGTCATTTTAATTTTGTTGGCTATCCAGGAAGAATGTTAATGGGTCTTTTCTCTGAACTTCTGCTACAGTTTTTGCCTTGCTTGTGGAAGGCCAGCTGTAATACTGTCATCAAGCCAAGTTTTTGATAGGATATAAGAGGCTTGACTTGGAACTAAGGTGAAGGATGCATTATAAAAAGCTGCTAAAGTTTGCATTATGCCCAGAAGCTTTCTGTTTAGAGCCTTCTTTGAAGATATGCAGTATATATATTTTTCTCTACTTTCTTCTTATGCATTGTGATCACTTTTACAGGGGATAAAGCTGGCAAAGATGAGGAAAATTGGCTGTGCTCTCCTGGTACTCCAAGCTCTTCTGGCACCTTTGGATCTTGTTCGTGGAGCAGAGAAAAATTATCCCATCCTGAACATTGCAGTGATTCTGGGAAGGACCAAGTACATAACAGAGAGAGATATCAGAGCTCTCTGGACCAGGGAAATGTCAGCAGACCTGACTGTTGATATCAATGTCGTGACTCTTCTTGTGAACCAGACTGACCCTAAGAGCATCATAACACATGTTTGTGACTTGATGTCAGGCACCAAGATCCATGGAGTGGTTTTTGGAGATGACACTGATCAGGAGGCAGTAGCTCAGATTTTGGATTTTATTTCATCTCAGACTTCTATTCCAATTCTTGGAATTCATGGCGGGGCCTCCATGATAATGGCAGATAAGGTAGGAAAATTTATTAAGAGCTCTTGCTATTCATTTATTGGTCTCTATCATGAATAATTGTTACAAGCAAGTTCAAAAAAGATGCTCTTAATTGTCTCTCTGTACTTGTATGCGTAATAGTGTCTTTGTTGATAGCTCATCAAATATTCAGAAATATTTTGGGGTTCATACCTGAAACTCAACTTTCTAACACTATCAAAGCAGCCCTAATGAGATATTACTCTCCAGCACATGGAATGATGGTCAGTTAAAAAACTTTAATAGCTAATATGATCAATACATGTAAAACCAGCCTCTAATAGTAGGTTCATCAAATGATTTTGAGGATAAGATGTAAAACTATAAGCAGATGTTCTGTGGTGCTTGTGAGAAATAGCAAGCAATAGACCTGAGTGTATCTGGGTGCAACAGTAATAATAGGACAATAATAAGCCAGACTTCAGTGATCCACTACAGTATCTGAATTAAGTAGTCATGCACACTTGAACCACTGCATTCCAAGAATTCATTGAATGAGATTTTTGCTAACTGGATAGTTCTACTTTGCTACTGTAGTTCATGAAATCCAGTAAGGGCTGTCTGAAATCTGGAGATAATGATAAATGGTCTTGTTGGAAAACATTTTTATGTAATCTGTTGTGAGACTGGAAGAGCAAAAGTGACTCATGTCTCAAGTTCCTTAACAAAGTAAGGATTTTTAAGAGCTCTTTGCTGGCACTGCAGCATTGATTTTGAGAGGTGATCCCTGCTGCTCCTGAGACAGGCACTCAGTGCAGGGCTCAGCTCTGCTGGGGACTCAGAGGAGCTCCCAGTGTGGTGTAAGAGAGGAGAACTCAGAGAGGGCAGATGAGGGAAGTCACTGGTTTGCCAGCACTTGAGCATCTTTAATGTTAATTCTAACTTATTTCCTGGTATTTCCATGCTTTAGGGTTCCTTATTCATTGATTATTATTTTTTCTTATGTGTGACTTTTGAATAGTAAAGGGCTCTCTCAACACATCTGAAAAGGAAGTGGTCCAGATACATTATTTTGTGAAGTTAAGGGGGGGAAAGAAGCAGGGTTAATTGAGGAATCAGCTTTGAACTTTGGGAACTTTTTACCTCTGGAATAGACTTTTTTTCCATTGTGATAAGAGGTCTATTTCTCTTGGTGTTTTGAATAATCTTCCTTTAGAACTTGGGAGGACAATAAGTGCTGAAGGGGAGGACAATAAATGCTGAATTATAGCAGAGATCCTACAACAATGCATTGATATCTTGATTTATACAGAAAGATCATTACAGTCAATGCTGCTATCTTAAATGCAATTGCAGTGACCAAATTACAGAGGCAATTATTTCATGTGCTTTTAAATTACAGTGCAGATTTACTTGTCTTTTAAAGCTGGGTTTATATGTATTTAATGCTTCTATTTGACACATATTTCACTTAACTGTCTGCCAGTGTAAGAACACTTGATCTCAGCCAGGGCCAAGTGATGAAACACTGGAAGAAATTCTTACAGAATCATCTTCACTTTTGGTAGCAGATGCAGGATGTTACTGATACAGATCTATTTTTACTTTTATGTAAGAGCCTCTAGAAAATGAAACAGTCTTTTTTGTCTCAGTAAATTACTTCTATTTTCACTGTATGCTAATATTGTCATTATTGTATCATTGTCTTTTATTTTAGGGGTTATCAAAGTTTTATTAGCAAACTTTCCTGCTGAAATTTAGCTTCTAAGATTTCCAGTTGGGAAATCAAAATTGTCTTTTGTGTGTTAAAACAATCTAACAGAGCAGTCTTCAGTAGCCTGAATTGGCTGAAGGAATTGTTTGTTCACGCAACTAATATTGCCTTAATTTTCAACCTGACCTTTGCAATGTGCAGTGTCTTGCAGTGGGGTTTGGAACATCTCAGTAATGAGACCTGCAGGTGTCACTCAATTAACCATTCATTTAGGAACGAATTCCTTGGAGATGAAGTTGAAATTCACAGTGCTGTCATAAAAGCGGGGAGATGAAATCTGAGAGAGAAGGATTGGAAATATGAAATCTTTCAAGTCTCTGTCAGGATTTTAGCTGGCACACACAGGTGGTGGCTGACTTGTGAAGATTATTTTAAGTCTCCTGCTTTGTCTCATGCATTGAGATGCCTGGCTGTGCAAAAGGTGCCTGGTCCCACTCCTGCTTGTGGATGCAATGCTCTGGCACTCTAATAAGGCCATTTCATTTATGTCCTTATCCTATGAGTTCTGTGCCAGGTGGTTGTTATGTGATGCTGAACTCAACTAAACTGAGGGCACAGGAATGGGAACTCATTTATAATGCTCTGTACTGCTGAAGACTTCACTGAATGACTCAGAGGAGATAAGCTACCGTATTCTCTGTGGCTAATAAATATTATGTCAATGTGAATCTTGACTGAAGACCCATATCTGTTTAAAAAAAAAAAGTTGTTTTATATTTCTAAGAATGAGGTATGGCCACATTTGGAGTTTGCAGTGATTAATGCAGGACATCCAGCTTTTGAAGCACTGCATCCCTGTCTGAACATCTGGGGTGAGTGGTGTGTTGTCTAGACTGCCTCCTTTGCCAGCCCAGCTCTGCTTCAGTTTGCTCAGAGTTTCCCTGCACCATCTGAGGAGAGATTTTGCATGATTCAGACATGGAAAATAGACAGGCATGTGAAGCCAACCAAACCTGAATGTTTCTGAGCCTTGCTGATCTCTTTTCACCTGACATCAGCTGTCCAAACCCTACCAACAAACCAATGGGACTCCTGGGGGTTTATGGCACTTACTGGATCCTGGCTGTGCTGCAGAGATCCCCTTTGGGCAGTGCCACATGCTCTGCTCCAGCTGATTTTATCCCCTGCTCTTGGCAGGAGCTCTCCTGCCAATGAACTGCTCCTTGGCTTTGGTCCCCAGTTGTGCCACGCACTTCAAGCATATTCAGATGTGGGATAGTCTGCTGAAACAAGATGAGAAATGTCTGGGGCATCTGTGCCAGCCTGCTGTGCATCAGCATCCCTTGGAGGATGCTGAAAACAGGCTGGCTGTTTATTCATCTTGTATCTCTTGACATTTGAGACATTTCAACAGAAACATTGCTTAGGAACTGTTTTCTGACTTGAGCATTTTGTTTCAAGCATAGTTACCTTTGTTTCACCACATGCTATGATTATAATGGTAGTATTTGTGATACTTTTTTTTAGAAACAGAACATCATGGTTAGTTCTGTATCAATGCTAAAAGACTTCTTCACATGTGGGAATATTATCCCTATGTATTGTAAATATGTCCAGGAATATTTAGTGTCTTTGAACCATACTGCTTTTGCTGATTGCAAACCTAAATCTTTCCAGAAGTCTTTCTGAAAGACATAATTTGAGGCATTTTATTGTTGTGGAAGCACTCACAGTTATAACAGTCAAGAAGTGTTAAGGGTGAGGGTAATTTTCCAGAAGGGCTATCACAAAGTGATACTTCTTGAAACAGATCTGGAAATGTTATGCAAAATAACAAACTGCTTTTCCAAAAGGTAAGTGCTATACATTATTGCACAATGATCCTATGAGAGCCCTGGAGCTTAGACAGGGTTGCTGGAGGTTGTCTAACCCAGCCCTTGCTCTCTGATGAGCTAATATGGAAATCAGATCATCCAGTCAAGTTTTGAACATCTCCCTGGAAATAGATACCACAGCCTCTCTGGGCAATCTGTTTCAGTAATTAACCTCTCTCACCATGCAAATATTTTCCTTTTATCTCATTAGAGTTTCCCTTGATACCACAGGCTTTTGTTCTTTTGCTGTGAATCAGAGTCCAGCTCTCAGCGCCATTACAGGCTGCAGTTAAAGAACTCCTTACCTGTCGCTTTCCTGGGGAAAAGGTTCCTTCAGCCCTTGCACTTTGGACTTCCTTGGATACATTGGTGTCATGTATGGCCCAGATAGGACCAATCTATAATAGCAGTCTTGGCTTTGGCCTGGTGGGTGCTGCGAGGGGAGCGGTCGCTGTGCTGCTGCTGCCGCAGCCAGGCTGGGCTGTGCCGCCGAGAGGGAGCACTGCTGACTCATGTTCAGCCCATCCCCTGGCCCCCGTGCCCTGGAGCTCTGCCGGACACTTCATCAACGAGGCAGCTAATTGCTAATCAGCACTGAGCAAAACTCTGCTTTGAAATCTTTCGTTCCTTTCGTGGTGGTTTTTTGGGTACTTTAGTGAAACACTTGAAGATGTTTGCATTACTTGTCATTTTCACCTCATTATAGGTATAGCTGGAATTGCTTTGTTTTAGCTCATTTGAGAGGCACAAAACTGTGCTGCACTTGTGCAAACCAGAGCTCTAAGCAGCTGTGATCAGAGCCCTCCCAGACTCCCGGCTCAGGAGCATTTATGCTCCCTTATCCATATAGGACTTAGATGTTCAAGTTCCTCCACACATCCTCCAGCTTCTTTGCCAAATGTCTCCATGGCACAGTGGTTCTCTAAAGGACCAAAAAGGTTAAGCTACACTTAACTCTTGTACTATGTGTAAGTGTGCTTCAACTCCTAATGCTTTCAACAATGTTTGATGGATGGCAGGGGGATGTTGTATTTGTTTTTTATTGTAGAATCTTTTCTGGAGGTCACACTACATGGAATGTGCTCATTAATTCATGTGTCTGCCATATGCATATGTAGATTCCTGTCCAACCTGTTTAGTTGGCTTGTAAAAACAGTTCTGTATTTCATTATAGAAAATTGTAAATTTAAGATTTTCTATAATAGCAACTTTTCATTCCCCACCCCTTACTGATGGCTGATGTGTGTGGCACTATGTGTCTGAGCATGATACTCACGTTGGCTTTGTTACTGTTTGGAAGATTAAGCCACAGGTTAATAAATACTTTAGTGCAAAAATAGCAGTATTCATATAACCGCTGTTTCAGGTCTAGACATAGCTTGCACTACTACATAGTCTGTTGCACACAATATTTCCAGCTTCTGACTCATTTAAAGAAGCAATTGAATTTGATT